CGATAGATGATTTAGTAGCTGCCTCTGACCATGCTTCTGAGTTAACTCGTTCCACTATTTTCGTATTCCTTAAATTATTTGAACAATTCTCATTTTTCGTTTTCATAAAATGATAATGTCTTTTCCAATACGAATTCTTGTTTTATTTTTTATACCAACAGAAATCGATGCATCTGCTGATGTTTCTGCATTCGTATTATGCTTATTAGTAATTTTCGGAGTATTCTTCAGATTATTCCAATTTTGTTGAGATTTTCAATTTGTAATTCTGCAGATGATTTAGAAGAACTACATTTTGTAAAGTAGATTGTACTTGTTTCATCGTCCAACAAAGATTTTCCTTGTGTCTTCACAGTTGTATTGATTTTGTGGCTATTCTTTAATTTTTATCTGAATAATTCTGTGTTCCTATTTGAAATAGCAGACAATTCAGAAGAAGATTCTGATGTTTTAAGATATTTGTATTCGTTATAGAAGAAATCTTTTCCGCTCTTTCTTTTTCTGTAATTTTTAAAAATATTATCTGATTTATTCTCACAGATGTTTTCGATATGTTAAAGATTACTTTTAGAGTCAGCAGACTGCACTGCGTCTGCAGTCTACTTTATACTAATATCAACATTTTCATTTCTCCCGTGAGCACCGTAAACACGCTCCGTCTCTGTCTGCACACCTGCGCGAGAATTCGTTAATGATATCAATTCCCATTAGGCTTGCTGCTGCTGATTATTATTATTATTAATTGTTTTCTCACTGCTACTTGTTTGTGACGTAGTACCGACTGTGGAACTGTCATAAATCAAGCTGCCTGTATAACAATTTTGCGATTTTTATCATTTGTATACTTTATTATTTTCTGCTTTTTATCTCTTTTTCTCTATTGTTCTTTGTTGATGTTATTTAATTATTTTGAATGCTTAATTAGGCCAGATATGTTTTTCCAGATTAACGTGATTGTCTTCAACTTGTTATGTGCTTTTTTCCTTGTCCAATTATTGATATTTATTTATCCATTGTATTATTTTGTTCTCTCGTTTTTTCGAGAATGAACGTCGAAGATTCAAATGATGCATTTGATCTATTATTTTTTTGCTGCTGATGCCTAATAAAATACAGATATTTATTCCAAGCTTCGTATTTCGTTGCGTCCGACGCGGATATCACGTGCATGTTGATTGAAAGTATGATGATTATATTGTTTATAGTCATCATGCTGACTGTGTTTTTCATGGTGATTATATGATCCTTATGATGTTCATTATGACTGCGATAATTATATTAGCCATGTTTACCACTTTTTTCATCTTTGCTGTATCGATCGTCGGACTTACTTTTGCTAGAAATAATTCGATTCTTTTTAATAGTATTAGTAGCAAATTTCTTTTCTTCTTCCAAATTATTGTAATTAATTTTGCTTTGCTTTAGATCTTTAATCAATTCGTCATTTTCCCGTTTTCTGATTATTACGTATTTTTTTATCATACAGTCATAGTAATTAATATCATATAATTTATGTCCCTTGCCGAAATTCTGGCATTAATACTTCAGCATCACAATCACCAAAATCGATTACTTCTATGGATATTTTATGTCGCGCGATATTAAGGTAACGTCCCTTCAGGTCCATGTGCTTTTTCCTGGCTTTCATGTAATCTTCTTCCTCTAAATCTTCTGACGGTGTGGTTCTGAATAAATCATATTCATGCTTATTCTTTACTGAAGTCGTCGCTTCTGCCGACGATGCAACATTGGTGGCAACTTCTTGACTTTCTTTTAAATCGTAATTCTTATTCTAATTTTCCATCAGCGTCTTTCCATTCGTTGAGTGCTTTGCTTCGGACGAAGTAATAGTATTAACAATGGAGTCTTGATGCTTATTAATATTCTAATGGATTTTCTGATTTCTCGAATGTGTTTTCGAGTGTGTAGTGATGAATGAACCAATCGGCAAATCGGCCGATGGATGACTTTTAATTTCACTGAAACCCATCTCAATCCCCGCTGACGTCGCATCATTATTATTACGGAGCGAGTCTCTTCTAGAACGTCATGGTCGTTCTCAGTTTTCGTTTTAACCGCGGCCGATACATCATCGACTGATGGCGACGCGGCCACGTTATTTGTATGCTTGCTTCCTTTTTCATCAGATATACTCAACGTCGAGAGTGACATCGCATTGTTGGCGGCAACACTCTGATCTCTCAAGTGATAACGCTCGATATCGATGTTCACGGGTTTTCCTGTGGGCGTGCCCGTAGAAATTTTCGTTATTAACATGTTCCCCGATTGTTTTTCCTCAACTTCTTCCTTCGTTTCTGCTGATTCTGCGGAATAGATAACGGGACGTTGAACTCCACCGCGGCTATGATATTTATTTTTGTTTCTGACATTTTCTTTGTGATGCGAATCAATCGATAAAACGTGTTCAACCAAAAGAACCCGCTAAATGGCGGTTCTTTGTGTTGTCGAAGGTGATAGTATCCGCTTCATTGTTAACTGAATGCCTCGATCTCGTCGTTCATGTTCTAACTTCGTTTTTCCATGCGTTTTTTTCATCACTCGAATCGTCGAGATTAAATTCGTAGATTTCTGTCGAAATATCTTGTCTCCGTTGATGCTCTTCTTTCTTGCGTATCTTTTCATTGTCTGTGCCTCCTCACGCTCGACTCCAAGAATGACGTTTTAAATATAAATCTATTCCAAAATCTCATCTGACGTCTGAAATTCCTGCGACGTTATGGAATCAAGCGCATGAGATCTAGATAAGTCCGAATGTGTCCATTTCACGTGTTCCCATTTTGATACACCGTTTTCCGTTTCCTCATTTTCTGTCGCATGGAAGCGCATATACGGCGTGTGTGCGTTCAAAGATACATGTCGCACTCTGGTACGCTCCGCATCTTCGTGGGATAACGATCTATGCGTGTGGTGCGATACCGTAGGTTTATGGAGCATTCCGTTTGCCCCGTAACTGCGCTTCTCTCCCGAGCTAATCTGCAGTTTGGGCGATAGATGCTTCTGATGTTGTAATTTATGTAATAACTTTACGTATGGATGCTCAGTATCCGCATTGCCAACCGTCGTAGAATCGGATAACGCATTAGATGTATGTTTTATCTCGTCATCTTTTGAATTAGCCGTTGCACGATGTGATAACAAGACCGTATCATCACGTAAATTATCAGTAATTCCGGCTTCATTTTCTGTTGATTTTGGATCATACGACTACGGATGAAAGGGGTGTTTAAAAATGGTGAATAACGATCCTGACAAAAGCCATTTGCCAAAATTGTCTATGTTGCGTTGCTTCGGCCGCTTTCGCTTTTGCTTGAGTTAGTATTTTACGAACAGCGGCTCGACCGTTTAAAACCTCGGCGACAGTTGCTTTTTCGGATTTTAATACATTGCTTGTGCTTGCCTCACTTAACTTAAGCACGAATATGCCTCTCATATGCGGGTTAACCTACAGAAATCCTGAACCGGATATCTTTAAATCTCTCTTGACGCAATCGTTGAGCTTTTCTGTTTCTTTATCGATGGATTTCGTTGTTTCCAAGCCAGCATTTTCACCCGTAAAAACTTTGATGTAACGTTTGAACAAATGACGTAACGTTTTTCTGAACCAATGTAATAATATTGCCAAGGAATTATTGGATAAAATTTTCATAAATTTTGATCCCTTAGAGAATAACGTATAAAAAGACTAATTTCAAAAAATTTTCTGCTTGGTTATTTTCATCAATGTTGTTCAGATTCTGCATATTTATAAATAAATAATTTTAGTTATTTAAAAAAATACATAAAATTTGTATTAAAAATTAATCTGATTTAAATGTAACCATGTTACGGGATTATTATCGCATGTAATATTTATATTTATCGTAATGTAATATTAATATGAATAATGTTACATATAATGTATTATTATTTTACTACACAAACAGGAAAATTGCACTGGAAATTTTATATTTAAAACATATGTGAGGTAAATGCTTCAAAATTTAACATAAACATACATATCTTTAAATTGCAATGTTTTATCACTCTTTTATCACTTTTTTGAAAATAATATTATGATTGGTTTTATATTATAACATGCTCACACAAAGAAATGCAGATTTTGATATTATTCATATGGATATTATTTCTCAATTATGACGTTTCGTTGCAACATCGTTTAATCTAACATTCTGTTATTATGGATTTTGATATTTTAATTTAGACATACCTTATGGTTCAAAAAGTTTTTTAAATTAAAAAAATTTTTTTAATTTAAAAAATTTTTTAAATATTCTCTCCAATCTTTCTCATTGGATGTTTCGTCCGATGATTCTTTTCTTACAAGATTCAAGTGATTACTCTCATCGTTTATGATGTAATTCATCCGCACTTTTGTCATTTGGCACCTCATAATGCGGGTTAGATGAAATAAAACTCCAACACAATAGAAACAATAAGATCACTGAAGTCTTCATCATTTCGTTCTTCATTTCTCGAGGAAAATTTGAAAATTACTGTCTGTTGCTGTTAATCGATGGATTTTATACTCTTTGTAGCAATTATGAAAACATTCCGTTTGCAAATGTGATAGGCGATACACGTTTAATTGTCGTTTTAAAGCATTACGTACGATTTCTTTCATTATATTTAAATATCTGGAAAATAATTTATTTGATATTCTGAGATTTATCTTTTTTGGAGTTTTTGAATGTGTCAAAAAGCGGAATATTGCCTTGAAGCGTTACTCGTTATATATATTTAAAATTCACAAGCGCACATATTTAAACATAATTTTATGAGTACGGAGAGTTGTACGTAAAAGCAGCGCAAACTCGCAATATAACGTAAACTTTAATTGAGTACACTCATCCAAGATGATGAAACTTACGCAGCAATTTGCCTGACAAGATTTTGATATAGCGGTGAATTTAACGAAAATTTTAATTCTGTTTTTCAATGAACGGTTGAAATAATACGTCATAACTCTCTTTTATTTTTAGCAACAAAGGCATCCACCTCTTGTACTCGGTTGGATGTTTCTAGTATTGCCGTTCCTACCTGCGTCCAATCTTTTCGTTACCGTGGGCTTTGTCGTGGCCGAACGAGTTTTGTATACGCCGAGGTAATTTTATCAAAATGTTGCAAATTATTACGCAATCACAGTTATCGTTACGATAGGCGATATGATGTCTTGATGTAATTTTGCAGTGTCGGATGGATCATTCTGATCGTTTACGGCATGCAGGTGAGCTGGGCTGCTGTATCGCGACGAAGAAGCTGGATCACTACAGGCGTAGTTCTTCTACTCGTTTTAGGCTGTTTCCGAACAGTTCTTCGGAATAACGATTGGACATCTAGAGAAACTTTAATCAAGTACGTGATAAGAAACCATTTTACGTGTCACGCGTGTTTTATCAACTTAAATCATTCGAGAAGAGAAACTTCCTTGCACCGATCAATAATAACATTACGAAGTATATATATTTAAATTTAAATAAAGTCTTTGCACTAATGGCAAACATAAATAATCGTTACTACGTGCACGCAATCGCAAATCTAACCCTCGTAATTGCGACAAAAATGATTTTGTCACGCGAAGATGTCGTAGACATTTATGGCGAGTGCCTCGTTCTCTGACTTAAACAAGGAGATTGGCGCGGTGCCAGCACTGTATACACTCGCGAACTCGGTGCAGGCGTTAGAGACGCCGATTGGCTGTGTACGGGGTCGCAAAACATAACTAACATAGATACGGGATGACGAGGGTGGTGGGGTCGTGTCGAGGTCGAAAGGATGGTCTCGTCTGACCTCAAATCGCCTTGTTTCAGAGCGGGGTTGCGGTCTCTGCCCTACAATGCCAAGATGCATTACAACTTTGCCAACTTCCTCAAAGATACGTCGCAGCCAAAGCTTGCGGTCCACCATTACGAGCTGGCTCTCTGGTAAGTGCGTTTCTCTTTCTCGTGTCGTCAAAATGTTGTCATTAATGATATGCAAAATTTTAAGGCATATTTTAGAACAAAAGTGACGTTTATTAACTTGCGTACAAACTATGGTATCTAGTTACATGGAAGCAGAGGGATATATTCTGTATGCATGTGCAGACATCGTAAAGTTCAGTTTTATCCTATTATTTCCAAATCATAGAATAAACGTGTATTAATTCCTTTTTACATGGATGATCAATATTTTTGTTCCAAAATGCACAATTTCTCAGTTATTAACACATTTTGTGAAAATATCTTAAAAGCGTTTTAATTGCTTTTTATACTATATTTTATATTTTATATTTTTTATATATGAATAACAAAGACTTTACTTGCTGTTTGCGCATTTTTAAGCCTCAACTTCAATGAATGCTTTTTATATCTGGTTTGTGAATGAGCGTAGTCGGCTTCTTTTTTTCATATGGCTTCAACATTACACACAAAATTGATTAAATCTCACTGCCGTTGGCTTATCGTTTTCTGATAAATATTTTTGCTGCGACAACCATCTATAAAATAACTGAATTACCTGTGTATGAAAGTTTACATTGAAACATGTGATGGTAGATAATCTGCCCGATATGAGTACACAACTGGTGAAAAGATAGTGTTAGAATTCCGATATCAATATAATTTAAGCAATAAAATCCGTCACTTCATAAATCATCATAAATCTCATTTGATTCAATATTGCAATGTGCGTGTGCTATATTCTTTCGTTTTAATTCTATTTCTATTGAAAACGGGGAAGATAACGTAAACAACTTAACTGAGCTATATCTGTTTTAAATTTGTCAGATTTCGAAAACGTCAACCGAAATTAATATGCTCCACCATACAACATTTATAGCAACGCACTAATCCGCAGAGTCTAATTAAATAACTCGAGCACGTCAGCGCCATGAATCCGACAAGTTGTATTTTATACGACCAGTTGCACCGTTATTGTATATCTTCTCAACATAGAGTGAAAATTAAAAGCACTTTTAGGGATTAAAAATATTATTGATATACACATGATGTAATAGGTATATGTATATACAAAATA